TTTATGGATGATACATATTGTATGTAATCAGGCCCCCATGACTGCAGGCTTCCCAGGCTGGGACGTATGTGTGTCTAAAGGACAGACAGAGGCTGGGACACTTTGATTATGAAGGAGAGAGAGGGCAGTGCAGCTGCTATCCTCCTAACAGCATTTCCTCTGCTTCATTAGACCGTCTCTGTCTGTGTTCAGTCCTCATGCTTGTTTCAGGCGATGGGGAACACGAATCAAAGCATTCTGAGGTTTGCTCTCTTACTTCCTGCACGCAGAGGAGGAAAGCACTTATACAGCAACAAAATCCTCTCCGGGGACACAAGAGAGGAGTGAAGGGGAAAGCGAACAGAGCAACGCAGCACTTTGATTCCAGCCCCCGACGGTCTGAAACCCAGAAACTGATAGCTGTATGTACCGAGTTCACACAGGGGCTGGTAAAAATGATATGATGGGGAAGGTTTTGTACACAGCCCAAACTGCGTTAAAGAGGACGGAGGAAAGTCGTAGTCCAAACAAAAAGTGAGAAGATGATCCTGTCTTTTCTTTTCTGTCTTGCTGTGTAAACACTCCTGATAGGATGGGCAGAAATGAATGTGCTCTGCCTTTGACAAGGCAGGGATGCCAGAGTTGATTAACACAAGAGATGCATCATTGTCTTCATCCCTGGGCATCTTATTTTGTCAGTGTTACACTCACTGGAACATTTTCTTCAAATGAATAAGTCACAGCCACTACCAAGAAGGTCAAGTTGTGGCTTAAAGGAAGTTTGGATAAGGTTTAAGAACTGAGTATGCTTGAAAGAAACTAGTCTGAACAAAGGACAGTCCGACCACATCTAAAGGCAAAAATGTTGTGACACTGGATAGGCATGGGAAGACAGTGTCTAGACGCTGTTCTACAATCCGACAAGAACTTCATTTGAAGCATGCCAAAGCTTGTGTTGGTTTGTTGGATGTGTGACGTTGCCCAGCCACCTGGACTAACCCAATCTTTACTCTCTTTACATAAAGGGCCATAATGAAAAGGTCTCAGACAAGCGGGGTCATCCATTAATCGCAGGGTTGGCAGCTCGATCCCCGCCTCCTCCAATGGAAATGTTAAACTGTCCTTGAGCAAGACTGTGAACCCCAGCTGCCCGTTAGGCAAATGTTAGGCCAGTGCCTAAGCCAGCCAGTCGCTGTGTGAGCATGTGTGTGAATCAAGGTTCAGCCTCTGGGGCTGAAAACTGAAGCCAATGTGGAAGTGCCAAAAACTGCAGTTCCTCAAATGGCCACTTGAGGCTGGCTCCAAAAGCTAGTAAATGCCCACTGACCCCATGTTAAAATGCACGAACTTTGAGATGTTTACTCTCCAGTGCAAAAACGTTTTTTTTTTTATCTCTATATGTAATTGCTCTGTTCATGACAACTGTACGGAGGTGAATTTTTATATAACTCATCTGTTTGAATTTCATTAAGGCTTAAAGTTATGCATAATTAAGGGCGTGGCCATTTTGAGTGACAGGAGGGCGCTGTCCACTGACAAGTTGCTACCATAGCATTGACGTTGGTTAGGTAACGTAACCATGGCATAACCCCAATTTCAAAGAGTATAGGCATATCCATGGGTGTTTCTATTTCAGTGTATTTTAAGTTCATGAAAGTTAACTGTAACATTTCAAAAAGGGGTAGACTTGCTAAGGTCCAATTCATAGTTTCCACATCCGTGTGTCCGTGAGGGTCCACATGTCCATGAAGGTCCGTGTGACATAAATGTCGTCATCCACCCATGTCCGTGACGGTCCACACAGACCTTATGTGGACAGCAGCCCATTTCTTGGGGTGTTAATTGAACTATGAATAGAACCACGCGCATGTCTGCATGACTATAGCTGTCTGCAGACGTTCAATGTAGAAAGTATGTCTGAGCCTTCAGGAATCAGTTTTCACAGTCAGTACATTTTGTTTAAATGATTTAAAGCCCAGTTTTTGTTTGCAAAAATTAGCATTAGCATTAGCAGTGTCATGGTTAACCAAGCTGTAAATGTTCTATGCTAACCACGCTAGCAGCTTTTGTTAGGGTTAGCCCCAACCGCTCATATCCAAATATGGTCACTTCTGGCTTCAAAAATCCAAGACAACGACAGCCAAAATGCCAAACTCAGCTTCAGAATGGAAGTCCACAAACCACTGAGTGTTGTCACAGTGGCTATGTCCATTATTTTATACAGTCTATAGTGTGAAAAAGTAAATGACAAGCAAATGCAGTCTATACAGCATCAATCCTGATATTAAGAGGAGTGTCATTTTACATCTGCCCTCTCAAAATGCTGCAAAATAAACCAAGCTACACACACACACACTCAGAGGCACTTCATAGTGTGTATTTGTGCATTAGACAAATAAAAGCCTAAGCCTCACTCTGTTTTCAAGCAGACCTTGACTTTTGTCTGTCATGCAGTAACACAGGTTGCCAGACTGGTTTAAAATGCTTCTTTTCCTCGTCTTTAGTGGCCCATCATTTCTCTTCCTTATTTGCTTCACAGAGGCTGGGGGTCTCAGAGGTCAGCCCCTTGACAAATGGAGTAACTCATTGTGAGGAGGAAGGAGAAAAGGAGAATAAAAGAGTGAAAGGACATTTGTTGCTGCCAGACCGGGCAGCGACCTCACCATTTGGACAAACCCAGGTTTTTTAAGACTGACGTCCACTTGAGGAAATTCAAAGCTGTGCCGCACGCATTAAAAAAGCAGATTGAGAGGCCCACTTAGTGCTTGTCCATAGACTATGCTCCTTCACTACTACACCCACACACACACAGACACACACACACACCCCACACCCGAGCAAGCCTTTCCCGTAATCCCATGGGACCTCAGTCCACCCCTGAAAGAGTGAGCCTGACACGAGCCTCTGACTCAACCCAACATCCACACTGACCCCCTGCACACACACACACACACACACACACACACACACACACACAATTCCCCCCCACAGAAAGTAGGGGGCCCCAGGTCGGGCAGGTGCTGTGGCAGCCCTACAGAGTGGTGGCCGTGCATGTATAAGCGTGTATAGATGTGTGTGTATCTGTGTGTGTGTGTCTGTGTGTGATAGTAGGGGGCCCGTTTGCCGTCTGTCAGTCCAACATGCTGCATGCATGATCAGCCAGTCTGTGTTTTTCTTCTCCTGGGGTTTCTTGGCTCTATCAATGTGTGTGTGTGTGTGTGTGTTAGTGTGTGTCTTCGTGCGTCCACGCCCGTATGTTTCTTTTACAAGATCGGTCTGACTGATGGATCAATGCATCTAGGATTATGTATCACCCTAATTGCATTATCAGGGTCAGTGTCAGCAGACGACACACCCACAGCCTCCAGTGTCCTCCCTCTCATCTGATGTTCTCGCCTCCGCAGGGGTTTGGCTTGATGAAGCCGCGGCCTGGTTACATGTTATGCCATGATTGTTACCCAGCAGGCGAAGGATTTAAAGCTACACTAAGCAAGATTTTGATCTAAAAATACATTTGTCTAATCAGCCTAAATCACAAACTGGGGCTGAAGGAGAGAAGATGGAGCTTTCTCCACCAGCTGAGACCTGGCAGTTTCACGTCATTTAGCTAAATCAAATTCTGGTTTCGATTATGTTTACCCACAGGGAGAAACAAAGACAAGCAGGGATGGTAAACATGAGCGTGAGAAGTTAAACATCATGATACATGATTTCTGTGTACTGGAGTTAAACATTTTCTGACAGCTAGCTCTTAGTGCCAGTGACATAATTTCCTGGTGCAGGTTTAAAGGGACAGTTCACCCCCATATCAAAAATGTATATTTTCCCTCTTACTTGTTGTGCTGTATATCAATCTAGATTGTTTTGATGTGAGTTGGAGATATCGGCCATAGAGATGTCTGTCTTCTCTCCAATATAATGGAACTAGATGGCACTCGCCTTGTGATGCTCAAAGCACCAAAAACTCAACAGCAATGTCTCTTTCCACAAATCATGGCCCACTTACTGAAGATAATCCACAGACCTTGTTGTCAGCAGTTTTTGTGTAGGAACTATTTTCTGTCTACCAGACTAGACTTGCCAACCGTATCACTGCGGAGAAAGAAGCGTGCATCTACTGCTAGCTCACCTAGCACCACTGTGTTAGCTAACCTTACAGCTCAGCCGAGGAGGACACCATTTATGTTGACATCTTCCACTGTCACAAGCAAGAGCCTCTCGTCTATGAGGACATGAACACTTCCTTTTGCGCTGTAATGTGATTGGTATAAAAAGAAATAGTTCCGAAATGAAACTGCTCACAACAAGGTCTGTGGATTATCTTGAATAACCAGGTCATGATTTCTACAAAGAGACACTGATGTTGAGTTTTTCAAATGTATTTGTAAATGTGTTTTTCAAAGGTGTTTTAAAAGCCACAAGCCGAGTGCCATCTAGTTTCATTATATTGGCGAAACCACAGACATCTCTACAGCTGATATCTCAAACACTCGGCAACTCACACCAAAACAATCTAAATTACTGAATAGTACTGGAGGTAAGAGGAAAAATACGTATTTTTGATTTTTGGGTGAACTGTCCCTTTAAGTCACTTCCCATTATTGGTAAAGCCAGTGTTAAAGCATGGTTATAATGTCAAGGCCATGATACATGGACAAAATCGGTAAAAGTCACGTCATTATAAGTAATTTATAGGCATGTATTACATTAAAGCCCTAAATATTTTTCACATAAAGTAACTTTATTCTGTTTTCGAGTTCCCACTGATGCTTATGATGCAACATTTCATTTAAGTTCATCAAAAATCTTCTCCATGTTTCATGACCTTTAAGCAGGACAATGCAGCGTTTCATCTGGCCAACACATCTGTGCCAGTTCAAGCCAATAATAACAGACATTAAGCCAGAGGTTATCCACTGGTCACTCACACAGATGAGCGTCTTCGAAGACAACACTGCTCCACAATGAGTGAAACATGCATATGGTGAGAGGTTCAAGCCACTGTAGCTTGAGGTACATACCTTGTCAAACAGAGACTTCCATTGCTGAGACAAAAGGAAAGAGAGGGGAAAAGTGATGGAGTGAGTGGAAGAGATCCAAAGGAAGAAGGAAAAAAAATCTCAGAAACAGGTGCATGAGTGGAGAAAAGCACCTGTTTGGAAATGATGAGACTTGGCCAAAAGGACTTCCCTGTCTGTGCGCATTTGCCTTAATTGCAGTCTTGAAATCCCATGCTGTTATTATCTGATCATTGTGCTCAATGAGCCACAGCAAAAGATAATAAGGTACCAAAGTGTGGATCATTATGTGTAAGGGGTTTCTTATAGTAGGCTATTTGGATGTTTGAGACAACTAATGGAGCAAGAGAGCTGTGGGTGCATATGTGAGAGTGTGTGTGTCCCTTTGAAAAAAAATCACAGTAATATTCCTAGAAGGGGTGTGCTGTGTGTGTCTGGTGGCTGCCTTTACTTGTGTGAAACTCAGCATTTTAAATCCAATCTGATATCACCATAAACCTCCAGTTGTGCCATGACATTTTAAAATACATTTATGCTATGACATTCTGCTTCATGAAATCAAATGCATTGGAAAATTTTGGACCAGTGCAAAGGAAAGTTGGGGTCCTGCTGCGTAAGTGCAAACATGTGAAAAGGTGCACTTGAGGTCCCTCTGTGCTGTGTGTAGACTTACGTCCTCTGGGGCCACGGGGAGGACGTCGGTGCTTTCCAAAACCTCGATCTCCTCGCCCTCCGCGTTGGACGCCACCGCCGGAGAGGAGTTCACAGGCGCCTCCCGGGTTCCGCCCGTCATCCTCGGGCTGCTCTTCTCCATGCACCCGCGGAGAGCAGCTTCTCAGTCCTCAGGAATGACTCCACATAGTTTAAAATCCCATTTCGCTCCTTATGTGCGCGTCAGCAACGACAGAAAGTAAGAAAGCGGAGCATCATGCTCGCTTGCGCATCCCTTTGAGACTGATCACTGTTGGATTTTGGGCAGTCAGATGAGTCCAGGTGAAATGATAGATACCAGTTAATTAATATGTCCCCAGCGCACTTCTTCCACCCAGACAGGGCAAACAAATCTGCATCCGTAAAGAAAAAGTTGATTTGGGGATAGTTTAGTGATAGTTCTGGGCTGTGCAGTCCCTTTGTGGTGTCACACCACCGTCCACAACATCGTTAGTCAGCAATGACAGGGGTTTGCAGAGCTGGAGAGGAGCCTGGATTTTGTCCGCCACGAACAGAGGCAGCGGTCCAAGTTTGTGAAGCAGGGGGGGACGCACATTTACAGAGTCTCCTCACTTTGAGAGATGCGACGCAGCAGCAGAGCGCGGATCCATCTGAAAGAAATAATGACATCATCAAACACTGAACGACAACATGAAAGGCAGGACAGAGATGACAAATCGGACTGGATGACGCACAGGTCTCATATGGCTGCTCCATCCAGGGGAGCGGGTGAAACTCGACTAAAACCAGCGCGGGCACCGCCACATGGTAGACTCAAGAGAGAGAAGTCCAAGCAAAGTGCCCAATTTTTTGGTGCGTCATGATACCTGGCACGCTGCTTCTCTGCCGGTCGGCGGCGCAGAACGGGGACAGCCGTCTGCTCTCTCCGCCGCGTGCCGACGGGAAGCTTCAAAGAGGGGGGTGGGACTCACCGACCGCCTCCGCTGGGATGGTTGGTTTAGCTCCGGGAGACGCCGGGACTCTGCTCCAGCCGCATGCGTCCCTCCAGGCACACAGAGAGAGATGGAGAGAGAGGGCGGGGGTGGAGAGAGGGAGAGAGGGGAGGCAGGGAGAGATTTGGCCGGCGGTGAGGAGGGATCACCAGCCACTCCGCCCGGGGGTTTCGAGGAACTCCGGCTCCCTGAATGAACAGCTGGCTGTCACTGGCTCCCTGGCTCAGAGGCTGTAGGTCGTCTGTGGCATGACGCTGACATGTAGTAGTTGTGTAATGATATGGTAATTTACTACACCAGTGTAAGTGTCAATAATGTGACCCTATCAGATGCCTCTTTTTTAGTAAAAGAACCATTTATAAAGCCTTTATAAGCATTGACTAATGGTAAATCATCTGTCAGTGCTTAACAGATCAGTGAGGCGCCATTAACAGGAGGATGAGAAAAACCCTCTGCATAATCCTTTCTGTTTGTTATAAATGTTGGTAATACATTAATAAAGGGACATGAGTTTGCAGTTATATCTAAATTAGTCATAAATAGCCTGTATTTCTTAACAATGATTCATCAAATTTTCAGTTGAAAATTAATAAATAGGTAGATTTAAATAGGCAGGTACTGTTAAATGGTCCATGGAAGTGGTTTTCCTAAAAAATTAAAGAGCTGAAATGACAGTAAGTGGCTAAATAAAGTGGCTTGTTACTGATCTTTTAGCATTAATTAAAAAATAATCATTAACAACTACATTTTTGTCAACTTTAATGTGTTATATGAGGTGCATTTAGAAAGTGGTTAAAGAGGTAAAACATTTTTATTACTTTTTTCTCTTTATTCATTTCGCAGTAGGGTTCAGAGGCAGAGTGGAGGGTGGCCCTGAATGTTTTCTCAAAATCCCAGAATCTTTTAGAGTTTTTAAAAATACCTTCAACCTTGTGTCATTCAGATAATAATAGCCTGTGCCCTGTTTATCCTACTCTGTTATTCCCTAAAGAAACCTAATATAATAGAGTTATTTTTCCAATGTTGGCCTAGTATTCAGTTCAGAGTATTGAAGGCCACATTTACTTGGCATTGTTGGGAATCCTTGATTTGCAACTGATCCTTCACTCAGCCCCGCCCCTTCGTGATGGTGCAACTAACTGCACTTCCTGAAGAAATATCAAATTTTGGGGAAAACGAAAAAGAGATTTCAGAGAGAAGCAGACAGGGGGGGTTAAAGGACATATCCAGGATGTCAAACTAACTCAGCAGCAAGAGCAGGTTAAAAATATAACTATACAGATCACAGTGTAAAAGTGAACCATCACATCACTGGCGATCGAGACATAAGTCAACGAACATAAAGGGAAACTTCGCCGATATTGAACCAGCTGTGTGTCATCACAGTGTGTGCAGATGAATGGTTTTTGGCTTCCCACTGTGCCGCTGCCAGTGCCTGGACCTCATAGGGGGGAACTCCAGGGGGGAGCTAAACACTATTCATCTGCACACACTGCAATGTCAAACAGCTGGTTGAATATTGGCAGAGTTTCCCTGCTTCCCTTCACTGATTCCTGTACAGCAGGGTTTTCATGGTCTGATTTTGATTTTGAAACTAGGTTGAAATGTATATCTCCTACATTTAGCTGGAAATCCACAAAACCAGCCTAAAAATTAAGAAAATCTGAAAGGACAGCATGAGAGTCTATGGGGCACAGTTGTGTTGTGAGACCCTCGACGGAGCTGGCCGACGCTACGCTATGATACGCCAGTCTGCATTCAAGGAGCAGAACTCAGTAAAGAGTCAGTTAGAGCAGCACAGACAGATTCAGATTTGTCAGCGAAACATTCATTCATTCATTATTATCATAATATAACAAAAATAAGTTTAAAGATTTTTAATGCTGTTTGTGCCAACATTCCTATCCTGTCTAACTTTGAGGTGGCAGGAGTGAAAATGAGTCATCCTCAACATTTGTTGTGTTATGTTCTCAGAATGATGAAGACAGTTGTAGAATAGTTTGATACAAAATAGGATGCTCTACAGGATGATTTCTTTTATTTGGTAACTATCATGGTTTTCCCAAATGATGTGCAGGTTTTTAGGCATTCTACTGTATTATATCAAATGTCTTGAAAAGTAGTGCGTATAGCTGCTGTAAATCTCCCTGAGGTACCATGACGCTGGACCCCCCCCCCCCCCCCAGGGTTAGGCTGTGCTGAGAATGTTTACAACATCTGGCTCCAGCCCTGGTGAGGTTCATTCACATTTAATGCAATCTCTTCTCATGCTATAAATACTAATTCATCATGTCCCACAAAGCAGCAGAAAGTCTGAAATGCTTAAACGCTCAGAAAGAAGGGAGTGTCCAAGGTTGTAAATTCCATTTTTTTTAGGGAATTTAAACTGCTCTCTCAGAATCTGCTGCCGCAATCACCCAAATGACTGAGCCCCATTTCATACAAACACCCACCTATTACCTCCTGAGACGTCAAACAAAACTAATAGCTGGGTGGAAGCCATGTATGAGGAGAAATGATGTGATGGCGGTGTGGTCTGCAGTGTGTAGGTTGATCAGTATCCTTCTAGTGAAACTCCCCCAGGTACAGTATGTGATAGCATTGCCATGGAAACAATATGGCCAGTTGATATTTTTAACCCTAGGGGTCTTTTCCTGACTCCCACACAGCAGCGTTGGGTTCAAGTTGGAGTCAGATATCTTGTTAAAAAACAGACCCGGGACTCACTCTGTATCTGTGGTCAGCTGCATGGCCACATTTTCAGACCCTGTAATTTCATGTGGTCTTTTGTGGACAGGAAACAAGATTTATGGGAGGTACTGATGCCTCATACACACACTAACAGCCTTAAAACTATTCACTTCTACCTCTCACATACTGATACTTATGAAAACACAGAAAAACTAATGTGCAGTATTACAGAGTGTAACAGCACTTAACAACTCTGTATGAAGACAATGAATAATAAACTTTCAACAAAATGTATTGTTTGTCTCACAGTGACTAAAATGAACTAAGGACATAAGTTAATGAATAAATAAACCATGTAGTAATCTCCCTAGGACATATCACATCCAATCTTTCATATTACCAAGGCGTGAGGGGAATTATTGTCTCGTTAGCTGCAGGCGCCAATGGGAATTTCCATTAAAAGCAGCTAATTGGACAAAATAAGCTTTGACGCGGCAGCTTTCGCAAGTCATGCGCCAACTTGGGCTGAGGAGCTGTGACACGAGAGCGAGATGAGGGAAGAGAGTGTGAACAAAAATGAGAGTGAGAGAGACAAGACACAGCAAGAAAAACACCTGCTAGTGGGAGAACTTAGCTCATGTATAAATTAGCAGCTGGGGAGGATTGCTTTCTTTTCACATGAGCGTCTCTCTTGAAGATGTTTGCAGGCACTAGCTGATCTTTGAGCCAGAGGTCCCCAACCTCTTCTGTCTGACATACCCTCACAGCCCCTTACTGATGAACTCAAGTGCCCTTTCATCTACACTATCAGTGAGTTTCCATGTGTGTCCACGTGTATTGATGTGTGTGTATTCATGTGTATTGTCAAGTTTGTGTTAAGCTGGACATTTCTGTCTACTTTTAGGAATTTCAGCTGTTCATATTGTAGGCTACTTTAAGCTAACTATTTCAATCATTTATCAATTACTTTTAGCTCTCTCCTGCTCCTCCTCCAACATTACAAGAGATTGGTAAGGGCTACCTTTGCAGTTGAGATAGTAGAACAGACGGAGATGGGCGTTTTAAATGCAGTTTGAATTGTAACAATCTGTTCAGCCACTGTGGAGCTATCAGTGTCTAAAGTCAAGAAAACTGTCTTGCCCACAAATCTGCCAGTTTCAAAGAGTATAAAGTCAGTAGACTCTAAGCTGTAGGTGGGCAACTTCAACATATTGACCCAGGCAAACATACATTGAACATTTGACCTGGAAAAAAAACATATTGCTGAAAACATACAAGCCTTTGAAAGGTCTCCTCATAGTACAGGTTATTTTTTTTATTGCTAACATGCATGGGTCAAAACTGAAGTCACATTATCAAAAGTCTTCACAGTCAGCAAAACAGAGGTCTTCGTGGATCAAACTCCAAATCATTTTCCATTGCTTTCACACAAAATGCATTCAGCACATTTTTCAATCACTGCCCTCAAAACTGCTAAAACCTTTTAAAAAAATAACAACAACTGAAGACTTTGAAAAAGTGGCCTCAGTATTGACAGATGCTTGTTAGCAACCTAAGAACACTGTGAGAGGAAACTGAGCTGGGCAACATGCTGTAGATACACTCTCCCATTTCAGTCATTTAGTATCAGTCAATTACTTTTACATAACTATTTCAACTATCACTAATGAGTTGTAACTACACTGCTTATCTATTACTGTTAGCTAACTACTTCAACTGCTGATCTGTCACTTTTAATGAACTATTTGAGCTGTTTATACATTTTAACTTTCAACTTCTCTGCTTGCTCACTTGCAAAGTCTTTATTCACTCCCAAATGCAAGAGTGGCAGGCAGGTGTAAAAGCTGATGCAATATGTGTACAGCCTGTACACACACCAAGGAAACTGCAGAAGTGCTCCCCAAGATACAAGTACATATGGTTGGGAATGCTCTGAGGAAAGGCCTTGATGTCCTCTTTGTGTCAAACACACACACACAACTTTAGATTATTTACAGGCTTCAACAGAACATAGGCTGTACCAACTTCACTTTTTAATGGTTAAATAGGAGTTCTCATGCAGCACAGTGTCTGGCTGTCTCACATAATTACAGATACTCATTAGAGAGAACCAGTGGTGCCTTAAATGTCCTGACAAAGCAGCTGCACCAGAAAATTCAGCTTCAGATGTCCACATGCAGTGTTTCTCAAAACTATATGGATTTAACAACCCCAAGATGAGTCTGGGGCCTTTTAGTGTCTC